TTTATACAATTCAAAGATGTTTCCCAGCATCCCTCTTACACACAGTGTCTAGGTCACAACCTGACATAAGGTCCTAGATTCAAATGGTCTCTCTCTCAGTTGCACCTTACCCAATTCACACATTCCTCTTTCCTTTGTGAATTTTCCTAATACTTTATCCTGGAAAGTTTTTCATAAAGTAGCACACCAAATTCGTCATTCCCAAGATCCATAGACTCCAGATTCCTCATTTGCCATGCCTCTGAGAAGCAAACACATGCCGCCAGCTGTGTGGCTACATCCCCAAGGCTTTGTTGGGAGTGTTGATGACAGGTTCTCACAGCTTTAAAACGATTTCATGCCTCTGTATCACCGCAGGTGGTCAAGGCCATGGGAATAAAGGGGGCTTTGGATCTTTCTGGCTGTGGATTCTGTAGGCTGTGCTGTGAGAACAACCTGCATTTCTGAGGAAAATGTACATCTGAGATTCCTGAGACCAGGCTCCCATGGAGCCTGCAGGAAGTCACTGATCATTCACAGATGCCCTTCACAGCTCAGCTTTGGGAGCTCCGGCTCAGCAAGGGAGAGTGAAACCCACAATTATGGCAGCAAGGTGGTGCTGGCGAGAGGAGTGTAAGAATTTCAGACTTAAGGTTTCTTCTTTTGTTACATGGTCAGAGAGCCAAGCATCTACCTCTGGGGATGTCATAAATCTGATGGATGATGGATCATGGGGGAAATCACTAGGCACTCAAGCATAGAGTGTGCAGAATGCTCGGCGGAGCAGTAAGAATGGTGATTCCCAGCTCCCATCTCATCTACATCCATCCAGGTACTATCAGTGGAAGCCTGAGGCTCCCTGAACATAGTGTCTATAGCTGATCTCCTACCTCACCATCAGAAAAGTCATGATGCTGTCCCAAGATCAAGAGTCACATGGATAGCTATGATGAATGACAACGTCATTGGGGTAGGGGGTATGGAAAAGCCTTAGGTCTCCAAACTCGATCACACACTCTAGTTGGACCAAGTAAGTGACCACAGCCTTTGGGATATACGTGCACATTTCTCATAGATCCCATGGAAAGGAAATTTGATCATTATTGTGACACATTATCAGTAAATTCAGGGGGGTCTTAGGAATTGAAAGTTTCTTCTTCTCTAACTTGCAATCATTATTCCAAGTCATCGTCCTTTGCTAAAAGAATTTAAGATGAGATTATACATATGTATGAAGGAGTCAAAAAGACCTGTGTGGGTTAGAGATTGTTTTCACTTCAGGATCTTAACCTGGCCTTTGCTACCTGGGCTTTGCTTCTACCAAAGTTTCTCTCCTTAGATCTTGGCCTACTAGTGGGCTATGAAACCCGATTAGTGGGCATGATAAAAATAGAACTAAAACAATCTCAGAACTACCATACGTAGTGATGAGTATTATTGTAAGGAAGCTGTACAGAATATTCCATTGCAGAAGGTTATGGCCAAAATGGAAAAAAAAATCTGTGGAAACAAGATGTCGACTGTCCCCTGGTGATTTCTTTTGGGTAATCATGCTGGGCATGTGTGACCCCCTCCAGTAGAGAGTGTGGGCTTTGGAACCCTGTGTGAGGACAATCAATGAACTGGAAGGCTTAGTTATGAAGCTGCAGGGGGGCAGGAGGGGATCCATGATGCATTACACAAACTGATGTCTTCTCCCACACTTGCCTATGCCTCAAGTTCTAGCTGTCCCTTTTCATTTGTCTTCCTGATGAAGATCTGCAGACTAGAGCTAATGCTTCCAATACTGGCTTCCTTGGCTGCTCTTCACCCCTCTGCTCATTGCAAACAGGCTTCTGCTCCCACAATGCCATTGACACTCTCCTGGGTGATGTCACTAACTAGCTGCTTCTGGCTAAGTTGAAAGGCTTTCAGACACCGTTCCGCATGATGTTTAATGATGTTTAAAACACTCACTGGATGTACATGCATACACGCATGCATGCACACATAGATACATACACATGTTTTAGACAGGATTTCTGTCTTAGTCACTGTTCTATTGCTGTGAAGACACAGCATCACCAAGGCAACTCTTATAAAAGAAATTCATTAATGTATTTGGGGGCTTCTAAATTTAATTTTAATAAAATTAATTTAATTAAAAAGCTATTTAATTGGGGCTTGCTTATGGTTTTAGAGGCTTAGTCCATTACCATCATGTGGGGAGCATGGCACTGGATTAGTAGCTGAGAGCTACATCCTGGTCCACAGGCAGAAAGAAAGAGAAACACTGGGCCTGGTGTGGGCTTTTAAAACCTTGAAACTAGGCCACACCTCCTAGTCCTTCTAATCCTTTCAAACACTTCCACTACCTGGTGACTGAGCAGTCAAATATATGGGCTTATGGGGGCCATTTTTATTCAAACCACCAGTTTTACTATGTGAGCCCTGGCTTGTCTAGGACTTTCCAAGTGGACCAGGCTAGTCTTGAACTCACAGTTATCTGCCTGCCTGTGCTTCCTGGGTGCTAGAATTAAAGGCATGCACCACCATGCCTGACCATCGAGAATAGTTTTAATAATGGAAGAAACATAAAAGCTAGTATGTGCTGAATAAATTACCTGTCAACAGTTAGTACTGCCTACTGTCTGAGGGACAGTACCACCTACTGTCTGAGGGACTTACGTGTTTTGTAGGTTGGTACTTTGATTTTTCATTGAATTCAACTGAGGCTTAGAGAGGCTTCGGTACAGCAACATAATATCTGGGTCTGCCTGACAGCCAGGGCTCTGAACCACCTCCCCTTTGTTCCCACACTGCAGCTCTTTGAACTGAGCCTCCTGTTTCTCCAACTTTTCTGTCTTGATCCCTTCTATCATCTCCCCCACCCTATCTGAGTAACACAGATGATTCCAAATCTATCTGCAACCCAGACTCTCTCCTGAGCCCCCAGTCTGTTGTTACTGCCTTGCCTCTGCTGGGTGTCCTGGAGGCACTTAAGAATTAAGCAAACTGCAAGAGAATTATCTTGTTCTCATTTTCGTCGTTACACAGTATTACTTTGGGAGACCTCTAGAAGGGTGAGGACGAGGCAGGCCTGTGACTAGCTGTACCAAGCACACTCCCATTCATAGTCAGTGAACACGTATTTTTGAATGAAGAAATTATAGAAATCCAGTTTATGGAAAGCGAATGAAGAAACAGAACAATTAGTCCAATTAATTCATAGCCTATCAACAATGAGCCTTCGGCTGCCAGTTTTGCAGACAAACTCAGCATAAACTGTCTTTGTCCTAGTTCAAAAGAGGTTTCTTTTCATTCTATTCATAATACTTCCTATTGAAAACTTAATATAAAGCATAAATAAAATGCTACCAAGTTCTGCTGTTAGGCAGTGGTGCCTCCACAGTTGGAATGAGAAAATCCAATACTGGGGTCTAATAAGTCTCTCCCCATCCAAATGAGAGCAGGACCTAGTCTGTGTTCTAGGCATGGCTGGCATCTACCATCACATCTGGCACTCTGGGGGATCCTCATAAATGTTTTGGTTAGTAAATGGAAGGAGGAGAAGGCAGGAAGAGGTAGAAGAACATATTGTCAAGGAAAAGTAGGTAGTTCATGTTTGGTCCTCTGGATTCTTAGGTGTCCTTTGGCACCTGACAGTCAACAGAGGAATGTTGGTAGCCAGAGAGTGCAGTGATTCCTTCTGAGGAAGTCTCTTTTGTTAATAGAAAGCTAGTGCTTTGTGATAAGATCTTTGCGTTCTGTACAAAAGGTACAGCTTCTTGCATTAAGGGGAAAGTGTGATTTGTGGAGGAAGAAAGAATAAAGAAAAACAATGAAGGAAAAGAGGCTGGAGAGATAGCTCAGCAGTTGAGAGTGTGTGTTGCTTTTGCGGAGGACCTGAGTTCGGTACCCAGCATCCATGTTGGATACCACACACACACACACACACACACACACACACACACACAAACCCACATGCAGATACATATGAATAAGAGTAACTAAAAACAAAAACAAGAATTGGGAATTAAAACCAGGCAAACCCTGCCTCATTTGACAGATGCTGAAACTAACAAGAAAATCTTGCATGTTGTCTCGGAATGGTTTTCAGACCTTTGTTTAATGGCTATCTGGAAGCTATCTAGGTCTTAGGATTCTGGATGGACTACCCCATAGCTACAAGTACCTACATGCAGCCAGAAAGGGGTGTGGTATTCTAGAACAGCTATTTAATAGCACCAGTGTTCATGCCTGTGGTCCCCAAATGCCACTCCTAAGACAGCATGTTCACGAAACAATGGTATGCACCAGGGGATTCACAAAAGCCTGAGGAAGAAGCAAAAACAAAACAAGAAAAGAGCAACAACAGCAACCCAGAAGGAGACAGTTCGGTGAAGAGTTAAATACATCCCATATACACCAATGATGTCAGTCTGAAGAGTCAGCAAAAACACAGAGATCGTATGAGATAATGCTAAGCTCAAGGCAGACTATAAAGTAACTGCAGACATCCTGACTATGCCAAAGAAAGAAAAAGAAAGATTTATTTAAGAAGGAAAAAGTCTAATAGGAAACACTCCAGATGGTGCTAACTGGGCAGCGAGGCAATGAGCTGGTTTTCTTTTTAGGTTTGTTTCCTTACTATAAAAACCGACAGCATTTTTGTGAGCTTTCAATACTAGAAAAATAAATGCCCCCTTTTTAATCTAACAGCAACCCAGTGGGCTTTAATACTCTTAGTTTAGATATAAAAATATAAACATTAAGACAGCATAAAGATTAAGTAGTACAAAAAAATATCTCAGGCAAGTACTCAGTCTGGCTTGGATCAAAGTCTGGCACCTATCAGGACAAAACGCTACTATTCAGTTTTGTTTTTCAATTGAAAGGTAGCTTATTCTAAAAATAAGATTTTAAGATCAAATGGTATTTCCTTCATCTCTCTTAGGAAATCAGTATGTGCTAGGCCCAGGCAGAGATGGTGATGCTGACAGCAGGGAGGGTAAGGGTACAGAGAACTGTGGGGGGCCTACCTCCTCCAGAGTCTTGATGGTACAGCTCTTCCTGGCAGCCTCCTGGAGCTCCATGGCTTGCTGGATGTACATTTTCCCAACCAAGATTTCATTTTCCAGCATGGACAGCTCTTTCAGTGAAATGGGCCAATTCAGGCGTTCCAAGGCTTTGTTTAAGACTGCCTTGTTTTCCAAGTATTTTATGGGTTTGATGGCATCCAACCTGAGGAACAAAATGAAAAGAAGAGAAGCGTAAGAAGAAAAAGGTGTAATCAGTTTCTCAATGAAACTCCTCGAGAAGGAATGGAGAGATGGCTCAGAGGTTAAGAGCACTGACTGTTCTTCCAGAGGACCTGAGTTCGATTCCTAGCAACCACATGGTGACTCACAACCATCTGTAATGAGATCTGGCACCCTCTTCTGGCCTGCAGGCATACAGACAGCTGCTGTATACATAATAAAAGTAAATAAATAAATAAATAAAATTAAAAATTGTTTAAAAAAAAAAAAAGCTCCCCAGAACCACGAATCACCTGCTGACACAGACATCAGAGGACTACAGTGCCAGCTGTGCCTTCGGGTTCATCTCTGCAGCCCCAAAGCTCCCATTTTTCAAGATTAGTTATAATTAGAAACTGTCCTTGGAATGGGTGGAAAACAAGCCTGGGCACTGTTCAGAGCCATGTCTGATGCTATATGACGGAGGTCCCCCGATTACATCAGCTGGTGATACAGCCATCTTAGATTATGCTCACACAGGAGGGAGGGGGGCAGATTGCCTAAGGACAGGTCAGTCACCATGCACAGCTGGAGGTAAGTAACAATTATCATACCCAGTGGTTTGTTTTGTTGTGGTGGTGGTTTGGTTTTTTTTTTTTTTTTTTTTTTTTGCTTTGAGACAAAAGTCTCCTTATGTAACCCAGGCTGGTCACAAACTCATGTCTCCCCAGCACTAGGAATACGTGCAACCGCCAACCATGCCCATCCAGCAACCAATGGTGGGAACACAGGGAAGTGGGAACGGCCGCACAGAGCTGGTGGGAATCTGAAGTGGTGTGGTTGCTGACAGTGAGTCTGCAGCCTTCTCAAACACGGAAGCCTAGAATTACTAGGTGTTTGATAAACCTACTCCTCACTGTACACGCTAGGGAAACAAAGGTGTGTTCACATGGAAACATCCACTCAAGTGATCATTATTCATAATAGTTGAAAAAGGCAGAAACAACTGAAATGTTCATTAGTGGGAGCAGATAATCAGTGTGTGTGTGTGTATGTGTGTGTGTGTGTGTGTGTGTGTGTGTGTAACATAACTTCCTTAGTGCATGCATATGTGTATATGTATACATGTGCATATGTGTTACAATCTTCATAAGCACTGAAAATATTAAATTCTCCCATTTAGTAATAGACAGAAACTGAAGACAGAAACTGAAGTATCACGTGTGTGCTTCCTTTCACATGACATCCAGACAGACAGATTTAATGGAAACAGAAAGCAGACTGGAGTTGGCAGTGGTTGGAGAAGTGTAATGGAGAATAATTGCTTTATGGGTAGGTTGTAGCCTTTTTCTGGGGTGATGATGTTTGGGGGGTTAGACTTTCTAAATGCCACTGGGCCATATGCTTTAAAATGGTTGATTTTGTTTATGTGAATTTCATTGGCATTTCCAAAACTGAGGTATGAATGGAATGACTTACTTCTCTTTTTCCTCTTGAGACAGAGCTTGCCAGACGATTTTATTTAAGCGTCTGTTGAAAAAAATACAATAACAATAACTTAAGAGCAATAACGTGTTTTAAGGAAAAAAACTTGACTACAGACTCTGACAAGGATTGCAAAGAGAAATCCAAGGCAGCTGGCAACCATTATTGGATGGTACCACTGTCACCCACTTAAAGAGATCACATAGGCACATCTTCCTCCTAAGCATCACTGAGGAAGCCTTGTGGCTGGGTGGGAGTAGTGTCAAATTCTAAGGAATTCTTTGCTCTCAAGGAAATGCTGTAAGCAAACTGGTCCTCATCAACTCTGCATTAGGAAGTTTTCATTGGCCGGCAAGGTGGTACAGCAGGAAAAGTCTCAATGCCAAATTTTATTTCCCAGGACCCATATGGTGAAAAATAAACTGACTCCCTCAAGTTGCCTTCCACATATGCATTGTGTGTTATCATACACACATACGCGTGTGCCCACACACACACAAGCATGTACGCACATGCCGCATGCACACACAATAAATGCAATACAAATACAAATGCAACACAAACATTTTAAAGATAAGTTTCAGGAGCTACAGATTTGTTCCTAAGGAGAACGTAAACACTCTCAGCTTGCCTTCTGCAGACACTCTTCTGCCTGGGTTCTGAGAGCAAGGGCTAATGGGAGCATCAGCTATACACATTCAGGTTTCACGCAGCAAATCATCCAGTCTAACCACCTTGTTTTCTGGATGGCAGGACAAAGATGGGCAGCCATGCAGAACACCTCAAACATCCACCTGGCTAGCTGTCTGTGGGGCAACTGAAGCCCCTCACTGACCACAGCCTCAGGGAGAAGCCATTTGGCCAAGAGGAAAGGGAGTTGCCATAGTGGCTCTTTTCCTTGTAACCAACCAATGATGCTTCTTCCAATGGATCCAGCCTAATCGGTGACACTATGCCATCACCTCAGGCTATATGGACAGCAGGAGACATAACATTGGCTCCAAAGCTTGTGGAGTAGGGAACATTGCCTTCCACAGGAAGTCTTCTTTTGACCACTGATGCCAATTGGCGTTAGCACAGCATGTAGAGAATATAGTTTGAGGGGAGCTGCTGGGCCACCATGAGCCTGGAGGAGCTGGGAAGTCAAGACGAGGATGGCTCGTGTGGGAGAGGAGCCACAGTTCTGGGGCCCAGACCTGAGTTTCTCCTTTTCCCATGAGCTAGGATGGAGTCAACTTTTCTGTCAACTCAGCATGACAAGAGAATCCCCCCCACCCCGATACAGTTATGAGGACTCTGTGAGCTGGTCTGTGCACAGCATATATAATGTGTCTGACATTGGCAAAGACCCTGTAAGCAGTGGTAAAAAGTCAGGAACAGTGGGGGCTAGAGACATAGTGTGGCCATTAAGAGCTCTTGTTGCCCTACAGAGGATCCCAGTTCAGTTCCCAGCATCCACACGGTGACTCACAACCATCCCTAACTTTATTTCCGTGGAATCTGATGCCTTCTTCTTACCTCCACAGGCAAAACACTCATCAAATAAGATAAAATAAAATAAAATAGGTATCAAGCTCAAAGAGCCAGGAAGAGGGAACTAGGCCAGCTAATGCTTTGGTTTTACTTGAAGGTTATGGCTCTTTGGGTTCCCTTAGGAAATTGGGTTTCTTTAGTCACTTGGTTCATGTGACAATGATCAGGGCTTCTAAGACTGTTCAGTTTTCTGTGCTTTTTCTTAAAATACACTCAACACTCTCTTCAATCTAAACTTGAAAGCGGGCTCAGTGTAGCGCGAAGCCGGGAGGGTGGAAAAGAGCTTCAGTGCAACACAGATCCAGGGTCAAGCTCAGCTCCCAGTCCCACCTGGCTGCTATGTGATCTCATTGGACAGAATCCTTTGAAGCTCTGCTTTCTCTGGGATAGAGCAAGGCTAACAGCACCCATCTGTGACTTTGAGAGGACGAAGGAGAAACACATGTAAAGTACCAGGAGTACCTCAACGTTCCTCTCCTCTGATGGATCAAAAGAAGGGTGAGCCTAGAAACACGGACAGACCACTGGTGATGTGGGTCTGGTGGGCCCAATTAACTAGCATGGATCAAATTTGAACTCAGTACTTGAGAAGTTATTTCCCAGGGATACATATTCATAACATCTGTGTCCCCTCTTGTCCACATGTTTTGTACAATTTCAGTGCTTTATTGAGTTGGCAGAGTGATTACAGCAAATCCACCAAGAGCATGTGATGACCATTTCTCTTTGGCACCTGGAGGGCATTGAATGTGTGCAGGCTTTTCTGAAGCTGGTCCAGGCCCTTAATCCTGACTGCTGGTTTGCATCCACTGGATTGCTGTAGCTCTAGCTGTAACAAGAAATGAGTTGTCTACAAAGCAATGTGTAACTACCGGCACATCATAAATCTGACCAGCAAGAAAGAGAAGACCTTAAATAGAGTGGAGAAGCATAGCCCCAGACCAGACTAGAACTGAGGTTTCTCCTGTGGATCTGAGGACTGTGATCTTGACTTTGGCAATCAAAGTAAGCTGCAAGAAAAACACTGACTCTGAATTTAAGCAGTCCTAGAAACTCCGCAAAGCTCAGACTCTGGAAATACTTAAACAGAAGGACACCCACCTATGAACGTTGTGTCTAAAATAGTTCCTTTATAATATCCTGTAAACCTCCGTTTTCTTGGTCACTCCTACCTTGAATGCACTTATGAATGTATAATACCATTTATTTTCAAAGTGACATTGGCTGACTTTGGAGAAAAACATCACAGAGGTGTGACAGTGGATGTGGGACAGTGTATGTGTCCATTACTCATCGTTTGCGCACGATGAGAAGGTTGCACATAATGAAATACAAAAAAGGGAACTGATGTTTATACAAACACAATTCTTCAGTACTATTGAATTCAAAGGCTAGGGAAGTTTTTGTCCTATATAATATTGTTACTGTTAATACTACTGAACTAATATTAAATAATTTAACACACACACACACACACACACACACACACACACCAAGGCAATAAACCCACTACTAATTAAATGAATAAACTTAAATGTTAAACACCAGCCATACTAAAGCTAATGTCATTAATGCAAAAATTATTACTGAAACTACACATTGAATATCTCTAATCCATAAATGTTTGGGATTTTGTATTTTGAAATATACATAATGAAATATTGTAAGGATGGGACCCAAGTCCAAACACAAAAATTATTTAGCTTTCCTAGCTACCTTGTACATATAATCAGAAATAAATTTATGCACAATTATTATTGCATGTACCACCATTTTAACTGTGGTCTTTCACATGGGATCAGGAATGGAACTTATTGTATGTGGCATCATTATGGGCACTCAAAAACTTTTTGAGTCTGGAGTATCTGAGGTTTGGAACTTTTCGGAGTTTTTGTTCAACTTGTAGCAACAATACTCCTCTAGTATTGGCAGAAAAGTTTTTGAGAGTTACTTGTAGGGACAAATCACTTACTCTGTGTTTTCAACTTTTTTTTTCTCAAGGGAGTGTTGTTCTGCCTGAGAATAGGGGTTTCCTTCCTTTCTGAGACCCTCTGGAAAAGGTCGGCATGGCAGAAAGGGTCTAGGGACTACTATGGTACAAAGAATCATGGTTATTTTAGGATCAACAGATTCAGGATGGAAAGCGGATCCACGTGGAAGGCTTCTTACATGTGAGCTGTACAATCCTCCCAACGGCCCTGTGGTGTGGGTTCTGCAGGTAAGTTATCTGCTCTCATGAATGTCACACCCTTACCTAAAAACAGGCATTGGCCGGGGCTAAGACAAAACACGCAAGCACGGCCCAACCGCCACGCTCTAGCCTGTGGCTCTGTGCCAGATGTTTATACACAAATGATTACAAAACACGACTATCTGAATTATTCAAGTAAACTGCATTAGAATTTGAATGGAATTAATTGCATCTGAATACCCAAATCAAATGTGAACATTTTAATAACAAAACTTGGAATTACATCAAATTCGAATGAATTTCAAATAGTCAAGTGTACAGGCCTCTGGTAGGAACTGATGAAGGGGAAAACGAGGCTGGCCCAGCTGTAAACTAGTGAACCAGACTGTCAATGAGCTACATAGGCCAGTGCAATAGTTCAGAGTGTGGCGAAGAGAGGGTGTGGAGAGTGCTCTCTGAGGCCGCCTTAGGAAGAAGGACCAGTTGGGGACAGCAAAACAACAGTCCCTTGAAGGGAGAACTTCGTGTAAGCACCAGGCCCAGGGAGAAGAGGAAGCTTAGGATTGGCCATCTTGCTACCAAGATAAAGATGGAAGACAAAAAGATGCAGAAAAACAGGCGGAACATCTCTAATTCAAAACCACTCTAAACCAACCTTTTTGAGTGCCAATGTGACAAGTAGAAAATTCCACCCATGCCATAAAGCTTTGTTTCTGGCATGAAATTATTTCAAATAGTGGGGAAAAATGTTTGGACTTGAGCCCAATTCTGAGGGTACCCCATTTATGCATAGGCAAACATTCAAAGATACAGAAGAAAACCTGAAATTCTCCTTTTGGATAAGGTATCTCACCCTGTGCTGACAACCCTATAAACACCACTGATGGGGCTCCCGTGAGGGGTACCAGTCCTAACAGGAGGGCAGTGAAGGAGGCTGGTGTGAAGACTGGAGAGCCATGCAGTGGTGGGAAAACACCTTACTGCGGATTAGCTGTGTCGCCCTGTGGGCAGGAGTTGGGCTATGAGTACTTGCTAGGCCCACCCCACCCTGAGTTATGATGGATGGATCAGTGGTGGGGTGGGGGGAGGGACTGGCCACATCACTAACCTCTATATGCTTTATTACTTATCCTTCTCACATGTTGATAATTAAAACCTGACTGCAGAACTTCCAGCATCTAGAATAAGCTTCCCAAAGAAGCTGGGCACCTTCAAAGGTCCCTTAAGTGTGTACACTAAGGGTCAATTCTAGGCAGGTGTGTAGGTCATGGGTGACAGCCATGCCACCTGCCCCTAAGGAGAGTCTCCACCTTTTGAACTGACTGAATGTAGACTTCTTTCTGTAGTCAATTTAATCATGGTCTTGATACATAAACATATAAACAATAATCTATACTTATAGAGTTACCCCTCAGGGTTTGTGGGGGGCTGGTCCCAAGATCTCCCCCTTTACTGGCTACAGATTTCTCAGGGTCATGGACACTTAGTTCTTGTATGTCAAAAGCTATTGCATTTGCATATAATCAAGGCATACCCTCCCAGATACTATAAATCACATGTAGATTGCTCATAAGACCCAAGATCATGTAAATTCTGTCTACATACTTGTTTTGTATTTGGAGGTATATGGCAAGAAAGCAAAATCTGCCCAAGTTCAGGTAAGACGCCATGTTTTTTCCTTATTTTCATTCTGTGGGGGTTTGAGTAAGCAGCTCTGTCTCTACTGTGGCGTTTGTTAGTTACTTTTCAAACTGTTAAATGCCAACATAATCAGATTCAATGAATGAAGAGTAAATTTGGAAGGTTTCCTGGAAACACAAGATATCTATAGAGTTTAGGATGGGAAGGTGGTTTATTGTAAGCCATTGGAAAGATCAGATTCAGGAGCCTAACCCAGCACCCAGCAGGGCCATACATGAGCTGTTGCTTTGTGTTGATACTGGGCCATTTTTAAATTGCTATTTCAGATGAAGCAAACTAAGGAAAAAACAAGAGAAAAGAAGCCAAACCAAATTATCTATCAGGAGCATTTGGGAATAATACTCACTTTTCATAGGATTTAATGGCCTGTTCCACCTTTTGCTTGTAGATATTGAGTTTGACTCCTTGGGTGTTAATCAATATCATCTGATTGGTGTCACTGTCCACATGTTCCAGAAGGGACTCCTACACAGCAATGTCAGCAGAAAGTAAAGTGTCACTTGATAGGTTCATGCAAGCCTTAAAATGTGCATTTATACAGGCACATGCTTCTCTGACTATAAAAACCACATTGTATGTGTAGAAAAGTAGAATGTAGCAAATCTTAAAAGAATAAGAGATATAATTACTAACCTTTCTTTTTCATTTTTAAAAGCTATACATTTAAAAAATTACCACCATAAAACCAACAGCAGAAAATCCAAATTGTTTCAGGAAACCCTTGTCATTACTGAGTATTATCTTTAGAAGCTTATTTATATAATCATATATATATATAAGTATGTTTTGCTTGTGTGTATATATGTGCACCACATGCATATCAGATGTCTATGGAGGTCAGAAGAGGACATCAGATCCCTTAGAATCAAATCTATGGGTGGTTGGGAATTACCATATGGGTATTGGGAATCAAATCCAGGTCCTTTGCAAGATCAACAAGTGCTCTTAACCACCGAGCCATCTCTCAAGACCCCCAAAAGTTACTTTTAATGAGGAAATCATTTAACTTTCAGTCAAGGCAATGCAGATCATCCTGTTATGTCCCCCAGCTTCTAAAATTGTGCAAAAATATATTAAAATAAGAAATTTGTACAAAAACAAGAAAGAAGAAAGAAACTATATATGGATATAGTTATAAAAATTGAAGGGAAGCATAAACAGGTAGATGCTGTGAGTTGCTGGTTCTGTGTCCAGTGCTAACATGGCAGTGAGAGTCCAGCTCCTAGAAATAAATGAGACTATGAATGTTCTGGAGAACAAGGGTCCACAACAGGCTCAGTGACCAAGGTTAGCCCTGTATAAGGGTCACTCCTCCTTAGAAGAAGGTACTGACTAGCAAGAGGGAACATTCACATAGCCTCACAAGCAAGGATTAAGCCTTGAGAGGGTTCCAGTGTATAAATACCTCCTACATTGCCTTTATCTATTGCAAGGAAGAAATCCTTCACTCTTTCTTAGCTGTGCTTGTTTGGGGCTTTGCACTCAACCAAGATGAGAACCTACTGTTGTTTGGTGTTACTTAGGTTGCTCCAAGACATGCGCGAACTTACTGAAATTCTAAGAAGTGGACGCAAGTTGTTTTGAATCTTGGAAGAATGACATTGGAACTGGAATAAAGAAATAGTCTTCATAGATTGAACAAAGTTAAAGCTAGGCAAGGCCACTTAAAAAGGACTTGTGAAGAGGGTGATGCATAAAGACTTCCCCCACAGACAGAAGCACAGATAAATGGTAATAGAGAAACGGATATATAGACAGATACTGAGAAGCTTCAATGTATAGTAATAGGAATGTCAAAAGAACTGAATCAAAGAGGAAGGTCATACCAAAAGCAACATCTGACAGCATGTGTGTACATGGAGGCTTCACAAATGGTGGCTGTATCTAAGCATTAAATCGTAAAAATGGTTGAAAAGACACCATTTGTTAACAAGTGTTATTGGTGCTGGCTAAAGTCAAGCTGTTTGATAAAAAAAGAAAAAAAAAAGGCCAGACACTGTCTGTCTGTGTGATTTGGGGAATGGGGAGGGGGCGGGTTCTGGGTCCTAGTCCAGAGGGTACAGCTGTTAGCGATCTTTTTCACTGTTCAGTTCTCAAAGTAGGGAAGGAAGAGTCTGCAGCCAGTTCAAGGGTTCAGCTACTAAGCTGTCTTGATATATAACATCAGCCTTGCCGCCCAAGCTCATTTCCAGTTCTCAGAATACAGGTTGCACCAGTTTGAATATTTTAACAGCATAGGTTTAGGTTAGAAAATGGTTTGGTGTTTTAGTATTGAGGAATACACAAAAACTCAGGTTGAGGATTACCTTTGAGGAAGGAGGGAGGGGAACTGATCAAAAAGGTGGCAGGGGGGTTCTCTACATTGCTTCTAATTCCTTAATCCCAGCACTCAGGAGGCAGAGCAGACCTCTCTGAGTTCAAGGCCAGCCTGGTCTGTAGAGTTCCAGAACAGCCAGGGAGATACAGAGAAACCCTGTCTTGAAAAACCAAATCAAAACAAGTAATCTAAAACATGTATAGCATTGTGTTTTAAACTATCAAAAGTAGTTACATCTAAAACTTGAGAGTTACAGGAGGTAGGCAAGACTTTGATGGTTTTACTGTTTAATTCTTTCAAACTACATATATTCACTCTGGAATTAAATCATTAGGACCCACATAAAGCAAAATAGGCAAAGGTTTAGAGATTGGAAGAGAAAGGCATGAAGTTAAAAGTTTCAGAGTTTAACCAGCTACTTAGAAACCACACAGAGTCAGCATGTGGCTCCCAAACACTCCTTTCAAAGGGAAGGAAACAGAACAGGGGGTCAAAGATGAAATGCCTGGGCTTTGAAACTGAAGATTGCATAAGTTTGTTAAAAAAATAAAAGAAAAGAAAAAGAAAAAAGAAAGAAAGAAATCATCCCTCAAAATAGGGCAATATCACAAAAACTTGACAGGAAAAAAATCAACGCCAACACAAATAAAAGACATTTATGTTTTCTGTGACCTGACAGGAAAGTACCCCTTTAGAAGTCTGTGTGTTTCTCTCCTAGTTTACTGGTTTAGGGTTCAATGATAAGGCAGTATTTAAAAAAAACTCTTTAGTCAAAATCTTGACTCGACTTCACCTACTTAACCAAAGGTAAATGCATATAGTACTTCCCTCTTTGGTAGATCTAGATCTCACGCCTGCCATGGCCATCATGAACTCAAGCGTAGCTGTTCAAATTCGACTTGTGCGCACCCGCTCTCCTTCCTTTCTGCACGCAGGATTGGGGGAACACAAAGGCATACTCCACACCGTCAGTCTTTGGTCTTAGTTTTTACAACATGGTGGTTACTTGGAGGCCAGATGACCAACTCTCTTTATGATGTCAAATTTAGTGTCACAAGGGACATTCCAGGGCTTAGGGGATCACAGTCAAGCTGCCTAGCAAGGGGGGTGGGGATACTTGGGGAGGGAAGTGAGGTCTGTGAAGAGGCTGAGGGCTCAGTTTGAGAGGGAATAAAGGCATGTGATCGCAACCCCTTGAAAATGACTTCCTTTGTACTTTTTAACTTAGCGGGTGGGGGTGGGGGGAATCCTTCCAGACAATATTTGGTAATAAAAAGAAGCCTACTTATTAATAAGAAGAAGCATCATCTACTTTAGTTCTCTAAGGCAAAACTAGAGTCCTCACCAAATTCATACTAATTCACCTCTTAGTGACAAGATTTTAACTATGAGAGAGGTGGACTAGAGGGGCATGTGGGGTGCAGTTTGTAGAAAGGGGGAGGAATAGAGAGATGGACAGAAAAGGAGAGAAACCATAAAGGTAGAAATTCCTAGAATTTATGGGTGAGCAAAAATTGGGCTGATAGTTAAAATTTTCCCTCTCATATATGTAATGCTTTGGACCATTAACTGGAAAATAGCTTCATGAAAATACCACTATTACTATAATAATAATAATAATAGAATTTATCCTCTCTGCCAGGCATTCTCTACATATGTTCTCATTCAATTCCATTATAGACCAATGCAATTGTAGTTTTTGTTATATGGCAAGCTAAACTGCCCATTAAGTTATAATTATTGTTTTTATATTTCATGTGTATGAGCATTTTGCCTGCATGTATGTGTGTACCATATCTGAATCTGGTGCCAGCAAAGAAAAAGGTATCAGATCCTCTGGAACTGGAGTTACAAATGGTTATAAGCTACCATGTGGGTTCTGGGAATCAAACCCATGTCTTGTGGAAGAGAAGCCAGTTCTCTTAACTGCTGAGCCATCTCTCCAGCCCCCTTTTTTGATTTTTATAAGTATTGCTTATTGGGGGTTAGTGCAATGCCTCAGTGAGTAAAGGAAGTTTCTGTACAACCCTGTCCACCTACATTCAATTCACCAGGATCCACGTAAAGCTAGGAGGGAATCTACTCCACAATCTACTTCTCTCACTTCTGTATGCACACTGTGACACGTGTGCCCTGTCTCCCATAACACACAGATAATAAATTGCTGCTATAACAAATGCACTAAATATGAAATATATGCACAATATTTACTGAATAACATGAAAGACTAGAACAAAGGCTCAAAACATTTTTAACAGTCTGATATACTATAAAATATAATCAAGTTTAGATTCTGCCAAATTCATCTTGTTAGAAATTGAGACATGGGACAAAGGAGGACTTTATCGGTTGGGGAAGAAGTTTACTGAATATGAGTAATATGAAAAAGATGTTTAAGAGATTTTTTATTTTTTATTCAAATGTGGTATAATGATTGAATATTGAAATGAAACCATGTCACTTTCACACAGTAATAGAAAAGCTCAAGCTTTTATTTGGTTTATGTGTGTGTGCTACTGTTTCTTAGTGACACCAGAAAGATAAAGGGAAATGAGTACTCTCAGAACCCCATGTTAGTTGCCCCAAAATGGGAGGAATAGTTCAATAGGTTGTCACAACTTAATGTGTTATTTTAAAAAGATATTTTTAAAGTTTTAACTATGCGTAGGCCTGTAGGTCTGTGTTGGGTATGCGCATGTGTGTGCAGGTGCCCATCAAGGCCAGAAGAGGGAGTCAGATCTCCTAGAGTTGGAGGCGTAGGCAGCTGTGAGCCATCTGACATGAATGTTGGGATCCAAACTCAAGTCCTTTGGGAAGACCAGTACATGTCTTCAGCTCCATAATTCATATTAGTAAATGCTGTTAAAATTTATCCAAACATCACCGGGCGTTGGTGGCGCACGCCTTTAGTCCCAGAATTCGGGAGGCAGAGGCAGGCAGATCTCTGTGAGTTCGAGGCCAGCCTGGTCTACAGAGCGAGTTCCAGGACAGCCTCCAAAACAATACAGAGAAACCCTGTTTCGAAAAAACCAAAAAAACAAAACAACAACAAAATTTGTCCAAACATCATCGTTACATGGGAACATGTTCAGAGCAGATGCTAAGTGAAGAAAATACCATGTGTAGTTATGTACACAGCTATCAATTT